GCACAAAGGAGTGTAAAACGTCTTCGACTTACGATTTGGGGCACATTTACACCCGCGGGTGCAGCAGGAAGACACGGAGTGACTGTGAAGTCGGTAAATGTCGCGTATGGTCTGCGTGGATGGACTGTTTTCAAGCTCAACGGTGCGTTTTCTGTGTGCTGCGGCACCCTCTGACCTGTTTCCGAATCGCTGTTCGTGTCAGTGATGGTTTCCATGGGGAATTAGCTGGTGACTTTGGGTGTCCGGTGCTGCTAAGAGTGAATCACTTTTTATTTCTGTTCCGGATGTGACGAGTGGGGGAAGGAAAGCTTGTAAATTTGACGCCTGTTCTTTTCCGCTGTCCTGTTGTGAATAGTGTAAATATACTTCCCGAACGCGATAGATGTATATGCAATGTTTCCCTGTCCGAAGTGGAGCTATGCAGGATAAAATACTGCCGCGCAATATAGCGGAATAAATGTGTTTGACTGAGTGCGAGGATCAAATCAGTATCTTAACGAGATTACCGGCGCATTGGTATTACCCAAAATCCAGCGAGTCTCCACTGTCGGCTGCAGAAGTCATTCACACACTTTAAACCGATACTTTAATCATCGTTTCGATAGGATACATACCCTCAATCCGTAAATATGGCAAACGGAAACGCATCGAATCAGTGTGCACAATTTCGCGGACTGGCGGTTCTGTTTGCAAACGGTGCAGTTCACAATTTTGGATCTGCAGCTTCGCAGACAAATACGCATCGGTGACGAATGGCGGACGATATATTTCGTTCACGTGTTCCGGTACCCTATACCCTGTTCTGTCATATTGCAGGACGCATGAACAGATAATCTGACAAAGGTAACATAACCAGCGCGAGCCGCGCCGGTTCTCAACCCACCAACCTCGCGGTCGTTTTGCGTTTTGAGACCGATGCAATCAAAGTACGAAACATATTACGATGAAATAAGAGAACGTTCTCCGAATTGCATAGTCACGCAACATCGTCAAAGCGCCTCCGTAAATCGTCTCTGGGAAATGTCACAAGGCGTCTGCAAGGCGAGGCAGCCCGTCACACTAACGCACCGCTCATGGGATTGCTGACGATGGCCTCCGAGCGTGCAGCCAGCCGCCAGCCGTCAGCTCCCGGTGTCACGCGCTCCCAAGTTCCGTCGCAAACGCTTTGGCAGCAGCGCGAGCCGAGTCGGCCCACGCCTGGCAGAGATCACGGCAATCCACTCGGGTGCCGCACGATCCGCGGCTGCTCTCGGGCCGGCGCAGGGCGCCCGCGCAGGTTGAGGACGGTCACTGACACCTCACCGGCAGCTGACCCGTCTCCCGGCACACGTGGTCTCAGCCGGGCGGCGGTCTGGCTCGCCGCCTGGTCCACGTGGTCCACGCGGTCCACGTGGTCCGCCACGGTC